AGCCCCCACCCTGACCAGCAGACCACCCTCCGGGGACACCCAGCCCCTACTCTGGTTCAAAACTCAAACTTGAAAATTCCAAGCTGAAGAGGGGATACAAGTTCGACTCCACCTCCTGATTCCTGTGGGTGGAGTCATGCTGAGTTTCTGAGCATTAATCTACTCATCTCCACGGGGAGGACTGCGGCGAGAGGATGCAGCAGATGCACTGTTTGTTGCATCATGATGAAAGACACCCACTGAGCCACACAGCCTTTGCTGAACCCAGGCTGGGAGCTTACCCTGTTGTCTTCTCCTCTAAGTTATTGCTCACACTTGGCTGCCTCTGAGGCAGATTTACCTAATTCTACCTAGTATTTTATTTATTCCCTTGTGTCTTACTTCCCCTCCCTACTTGGACTTTTATCAATAACCGAGACTGTACCTTGCTCAACTTTGTTTTCCACACTACATTTGTTATTCATAATCAATAATCAATATAACCTCTGATTTTGGACAACTTATTTTATTCAAATATTTTCAGAAGACTGGAACATACTGGGTATCAGAACTAAGTTGATAGTTTTGATCTTTTATTTTATATGCTCTTTGGTTCTTGGATTACATCACAAAGGAATAATTCTTTTATTCTCTTTTTATGAATGAAGAAACCTGGAAATAGTGAATGTAAGTAATTCTTGAAAGACAATGCAACCTCTAAGTGTCTAAACTGAGATTCCTGTTCACTAGGAGACCACAGCTATATATTTAGCTGGAGCATGAAGCAGGCCATCCTGTTTCTCTGAACGTCACTTTCTGAAACAGACTTAGGAGAACGGCGAAAACAGAGGACCTCAAGTCAACTGCTTACACTCTAGCAGAAAAGACCAACTTTTCAAACACCACAGAAAAAGTGTATGTAAAAATATAAATGGAGTTAATTCTTACCTGGGAAACCTGCCCTTACCTCTCTGTTGGGAACTGTTCTGCCGGGCAGCATGGAACGGCAAGAGGGTCAGGACTGTGTGGTGCCTTCCTCGCGAGGGGCCGGTGCTCAGCTGATAGTTCTGCTCGCTCTCACAGAGATTACTTTCATCGGACAGCCCTTGCTTCAGTTTTCAAAACCAGCTCCATTCCTGGGAAAGGGAAGTAGAATTCAAAGACCTTCCTCTCTCCTTTGCTCTAAATGAGGAAACAGAAATAAAGAATACACGGGATTCACTCAGCATCCACAACTAGTTAGATGACATTTACCAATTACAAATCGTTTCTAGTAAAATAGCCATATAACAATATAGTTTTGCTGAACCAGAAACGCGAGGGGTCCTTCCACCCCATACTATCTTCTTTAATTTCTTTAGTGGTTTTTGGATCTTATTGTAGGGATTTTTCTTTCTTCTTTAGATTTTTTTTTCAAGACAGGGTTTCTCTTTAGTTTTTGGTGCCTGTTCTGGAACTAGCTCTTGTAGACCAGGCTGGCCTCGAACTCACAGAGATCCACCTGCCTCTGCCTCCCCAGTGCTGGGATTAAAGGCATGAGCCACCACTGCCTGGCCTCTTCTTTGGATTTATTTCTAAATATTTGATGTTTTTGAGGCTACTGCAAACAGGATTCCCCTCCCCCATTCTTTGGCAAATTCATTATTGGTGCCAGAAAAATAATAACTTATGTTAACATTTTTCTGATTTTATTGCTAAATTTGTTCATCAGCTCTACCCAATCTTTGGGTGGTATACTTTCTATATATCAGGATTATGTCATCCATAAAAATAGGTGGCCCCGTTTCTTCCTTATTTGTATTATGTTTATTGTTTGCTTTATTTCCTTGGCAAAGACATCAGATTTTTATTAAATATGAGTGACACAGTGATTCTTCCATCTAGTGGGAGGTTGGCCACAGGTCTGTTGTGTGTTCTTGTTATGCAGAAAACTTTATCCTTCTGCACCTAGCTCCCATGAAACTTTCATCATGAAGAACTGTTTAATTCTGTCAATAGTGTTTTCTGCTGAGATGATCATGTGACCCTGGAATGAAAGCAACTTGATTGCATGCATCGTCTTCACATGTTAGCGAATTTCTGAAAGTATTTTGTGGAGGATTTTAGAAGCTGCTGTGTGATAGGGTTGAGCCGCTTTCCTCATCATTCCCCCTTCCCGCCCCTTTCCTCTCCCCCCACCAGCCTTGCTCCTCAGCAAGCCCCCCCCCACAACTTTCACATCTTCTTTTTGTGTGTGGCTCACTTGTTTTGGTTTTGCATATAGTTTCTTGCCTGAATGTGGGAGGAGGGTTATGTGCGGGACAAAGTTCAACGTATCAGTAGTTTGTCACTGAAGAAAATGACAACTCTGCTACCAAATGACCCTTAACTGCTGGGTTTTGTGTCAATGCTCACGAAGGATGTTGCTCTATTGCTTTTTCAGCTTTTGTTTTCTTCTTTTTTGGTTGGGTATGAGCCTCACATTTATGGTCATAGTCATGTCACAAAATGTGTGTGGAAGTATCTCTTCCTTTCCTCCCTCGAGGTGTAGCTTGGGAAGTGCTGTCATTAGCTCTTCATTAAATCTGGAAAAGTCAACCAGTTACGTGGTCTGGTCATAAGATTTTCTTTGCTGAGAGATATCTTTAAATTACTGTATCAATCTCATCACTTATTTTTTAAATTGTTTTATTCTGTACTATCTTGGTTCAATTTTAGTAAGCCATATGTGTTCAGAAATGTTCTTGACTCACCCTGCTATTTCTAGTGATATTCCTCCTCATAGAACGTCTGAAATATTGGCAGGGAAAATGGCTCAGTGAGTAAAGTGTTTGCTTCTTAAAAATATAAGAGGCAGATAAAGAGCAAGATATACAGGAGGAGAGGTAAAAGTCACAAGTTACATGGTAGCACGCAGATGAATCAAAGTGAATTAATTTAAGTTATAAGAGCTAATGGGACAAGCCTAAGCTATAGGCCAAGCTTTCAAAATTAGTAATAAGGGCATTCCGTGTGAGGACTTGTAGAAACAGGACACCCCATTTGGTCTGAGGGTTTCAAAAAGACCCAGTAGAATTCACACCACAATGTCTACACCCGGGCAGGCCCAGGCCACACGGGAACAGCGTCAGTGCCATAGCAGGCCCTAGTGACAGCAGTGACCTTCAGAAACTATTTGACCACCAGAGTCACAGCCTCAACCCTGCTTGTACTTAGAGAAGTGACCACTGGAGTTATGGCCCCGCCTACACCTAGATGAGCAACCATCTGAGCCCTGGGCCCACATACACCTGGAGGAGCAATCAATGGAGGCTCAGCCTTGCCTGCACCTGAAGTAGCATTCAACAGAGCCACAGCCCCCTTCTACTCAAATTGGAGGAAGAGGGACCCCCAGAAGCACAGACTCCACCTCTACCAATTAGAGGAAGAGATGAGTAGACAGCAGGGTAAGAACACACTCAACAACATGAAAAGCAATACAGCGTCACCAGAAACCAGTGGTTCTACAACAAGACCTGAACATCACAGCACAGGTGAAGCCAAAGAAAATGACATTAAAAATATCGTTATGAAGATGATTGAGACCCTTTAAGAGGAAATGAAAAATTCCCTTAAAGAAACAGAAGAAAAGATAAAGAAAAATTTTGGAAGAGATCAACAAATCCCTTGAAGAAAACCACAAAAAACCAATCAAACAGGTGAAGGAAATGGTTCAAGACTTAAAGACTGAAACAGAGGTAACAAAGGAAAAATATACCGAGGGAACTCTGGAGATGGAAAATCTGGGTAAATGATCAGGAACTACAGCTGCAAGCATAACCAGCAGAATTCAAGAGATGGAAGAGAGAATCTCAGGTGCTGAAGATACAATAGAGGAAACAGATTCATTGATCAAAGAAAATGTTAAATCCAACCAATTCTTAACACAAAATATCCAGGATCACAAATTATAGGCTCAATATCCTTTATTTATGGCTAGAATCCATTAATGAGTGAGTATATACCATATTCATCTTTTTGGGTCTGGGTTACCTCACTCAGGATAGTGTATTCTATTTCCATCC